CTCCAAGACCAAAAAACTTGTATTCCGGAGTGGGCAACAGCATGCCAGAGAAAGGAAAGAGGACAGCACATGAGCCCAGTCTCATGTGCGGCAGGGCAATGCGCAGGAAGCTGAGCACAATGTCAAGAGTAGTCTGGTCCTGTGGCCCCATCCTGTTATGACACCGTGATAAATCATAAAGCAATCAAATCATAGCTATACTATCTCCTGGTCTAAAAGTAAGCGTCTGTCTCCCTAGGATAATCTACCTCATGACAAAGGTCACCAGCTGAAAGTGGAATCTGAAGTATTTGTCCCTTACTTAGCTTCCCTGAGGCTGACATTTAGTAGACATTTTCTTGATACACTGAGTGGGAATCTTTAACACATCCCAACCTTTCCCAGATATTAATCACAGAACCAGTTTATAGGCAGTAAGCAGCCATCGCACATGTGCAATAGGTGATGGTCTTTGTTTAGTGAAAGACAAACCTGGTTCACATGTAACAGTGGCAAATTCAGGGTTAATTCACTGCCACATTCATTACCCCATGTCATTCATTACTACTTTGCATATACAGCCTCCAATCGGATGTTGTTCTGTACCATCCAAATCCAGGTGCTATGCTCATGAGTTCAACAAGACACAGTTAACCACTGGTTTATTCCTAGCATATCTGTGGATTGTTGAACTCGTGATTAACACAGTGTTTGAGTCTGAGCATCATGGAGCAACATCCAATCAGAAGATCCCTCCGCAAAATTATGATGCATCTGCCATGGCAAACTCAGGATTATTTAACCCATGATTTGCTGCTATTATATGCAAACAGCCCGTTCACAAAGAAAAAATTCTGCTAACACACAGCATAAGTAACGAGTATACAATTCCTATTGTTGTTTCAGTTGGCACTTTGCACAATACATTCTGCTGTTAATATTTAAACTGAGAAGTAGAGTGAAGTAATTCCTGGAAAAGTAAGTTTGTAGCAGCTGTCAGGGGTATTTTCCCACAAGGAGGCCGATTCAAAGCTCAGCAAGGTTTCCCTGCTTCAAAACATATGGATTACATACAAAGAACCAACATTCTTTCTCCTATACTTTTCCTTGAAACCTTACGTCTATTTACACAGACACAACGTCTCTGAAGTTATGCTTCAGGTCTCTAATTCAAGGTCACGTTTTGCTCATAACAGCATAGTTTTATACTCCAGAGACACAACTGCAGAAAGAACAGAGTTACTTCCCTTGTTAAAATTCAGACAGACTTCCACAAACAGGGTAACAATTGTTAAACTTATGTTTTGGTTCCCACAGGCAGGTATTAGTTTTATTTTCCTTTATGTGTTAACATACCACTTGCACGCTGCTACTTGGCTGCTGATTTTGAGAACATATCAAGATTTAGCTATGGGAATGATTTGTTATTAAAATCTTAAAAGTTGAAGAGCTACTTTCACTTTCAGACCACTATAATTCTGTCCCCACACTTCCTTTAGGAAGCTCCCAGTGGCATAAGGTAGTCCCAAAATGTATCCAAGCATCAAGTAGATAAGACTTTTGTTGCTTTAAATGTGCAACTTTGTGTTCTCGTAAACCACTTTCTGGGACAACATTTACTTTTTTTTTTTTAAAGAGAGATTTATACATTCATGCCACAGCATCAAGCTTTCAAAGAAGATTGGTTACAGAGTTGTTTGGCAGCTGCTCATTTGCAGCAGTCCAAAAATCCAGCCAGTAAGTAATTTCCTACGTCTTTTCATCTTGCATGGGGAGGTGCTGTAATACAGATCCGTGTAGAGTTTTTCAGTGGAGGAAGTAAATGGTACAAGTTGCTCCCTGCACACCCCAACCTCCATTCCTAAAAGTTCAACAGGTTGGATGAGTATCTTCTGAGGATCTCTGCCGCAGCTGTCTTAAGTTTGAGCTGCCTTTTAGGGAAGAGTATTCTAAAACAGCATATAAGAATTATATCCATGACACATGAAAACAGAACAGCACAATGCTCAACTTCAATTGGAGTATGGGAGTTATAAAAGGAAAAGAAAGAGATACTATTTAAGAACTCTTCCAGTAGCCATGCACTGTGTCCACCTTTGCCCAGAACTCCTAAGTAATATCTAACTATGATAGGAATTGGCAGTATGCTACAGATAAATATTTGCCTTGATGTGGCTAGAGAGGGTGAAGTTTAAAGTGTGCTTAGAAAAACCATTCTTATTTTTGTTGCAAAAGGAACAGCAAGTCTCCTTGGACTGCAACCCTAACCCTAAGTTTTCTTGGAGTTATCCCCCAGAAAACAAATAGGTGATTGTTCAAAGTAGAAGGATGCATTTATGAGCAAGGTTAGGGTTTGATTTGTAGCTAACAAACCCACTAAGGTAGGGTCAGAGACACTGCTGAAAAATTATGAAGTACTATATAGCAACATTCATTTCAAAGCTCAAGTAGAGAAATTGTGTGTGTTCATGTAAGCCTTACATGAATGAGACGTTTCCATGAAAACAAGATCTCTAAGCAACAACACAACTATTTCCTCACTGTCTACAAGATTTAGCCTCAAGATATTAATCAGAACTCTGTTCATACAGCACTATCATGCAATTTATCATTAATTCAAAATGCATTTTCCCCAGCAGACACCAGAAACAGAACAGTGCTTATACTCAAATTACACATGCCACTTTTATAAAGTCCACTATCTATAAATTAGACTGTACCTATCCATTTGATAATTTAGCTGTATTCAAGAATTTTAAATTAATCACATTAACTTATAACACTGACATTCTTTGAATCACTACTTTTGAAGCATCTAGGCCTTTGCAGCTGGTGTCCAACCGGAACTTTAAGGCTCAGTTGTATCTTTGTTCCCTGGCCTACTATCCAATCATATCAACTAAGCAAAATGCAGCCTCAGATAAAAAACAAGAGATGGAATAAGTCTCATTCACCCTGTTCAATTCTGAAGTCTGGAATTGGGAAGCTTTTAAAAGGAGTGCTAAGAGGAAGAGTCAAACTCCAAAAGGAACAAAATATATTATGGCAAAACATAGTATTATTATTCATGGATAAGAGTCCTCTTCCATCAGCAGCATGAAGTGTTATCTTCAGCTAGTAAACTGATACAACACATGAGCATAACAGTTTGTGTGTAGTTGTACATCATTTTGTTGTCAGTTGGGATACGTGTAAAATATCTGATAAAATGGCCTCTTGCTAACAATTGTTACAATATAAGCTTTCATGAGCATTTCCACCATCACAGAACTTGTTCTGATGCCATTATTTCAGCTACTGTGCAAAGAGACAGTTGCCTGGAGTCTAGTTACTTACATATATCTCTAGATCAACAGTTACAGGAATCATGGTAGACAGTACCCTGAGTATCAAGATGGGTAGAAGCCACATCCACGGGTAGATGGCAGTCTATTGTACACAACCTACACAAGGGGACTTGACCACCAAAAGTCTACCACTGAAAGCCTTCCCTCCACACAAAGGTTGCAGATGAATACTAAGGTGAAAACCAGGAATGCCTGTGCCTAAGACTTGAGTTGACGTCTTGTGTTAATTGTAAGTTGATGGGTTGAGCTGAGCATGTGCTCTGAAATGATGTTCCCACTCCTTGCACATGTCCACCTGCACCATAATTTTGCCACCAACTCCAGCTTCTGCACTTCTCCCACAAGCCTGAAAGCTGCCTGCCCAGGCCTAGCATGTGAATTTGGCCCCAGGACACTAGAAAGTCAGCTACTGCTGACTCTGCAGCAAAGGAATACGAAGTAGAACCAACAGAAAGTGGTACTGCCTGAACTAGAGGAAACAACCCAACCCTGTAAGAGGAAAGACAAGGTCAGAGCGTATGTTGACCAAGGTCTTCAGAATGCTAATTAAAAGTCTGAAGCTCCCCGTGCAGCTTGCACCTGTTTGGACCCACTGTGTAAGCTGTGCACGCCCAAGTAACCGTATGATTTGTTTTGGCTCATTCACGTGTGCTTTGGAGTAGTAGGTGAGAAGTGGGCAGGCCGTTCTTCCTGACAGATGTCCTTTGAGAGGCAGAAGGCTGCTGGGCAAGCCAACACACCACAACCCACAGTAGTCCTTTATTTGTTTTTCAAACTGACACAAAGATCAGCCTGATGCGTCCTTCTCCCTGGAAAGCAGTCCAGCAGTGAAAAGGCTGCTCTCTGAATCAAGAGGAGGGCCTTTTGAACACTGCTAACTTTCATAAGCCTCCAACATCCAAACCAAAGTCATGCGGCCAAAGGGAAGCGGCTCTACCTGCTGGGAGGGGGGATACCTCAGGAAATCCTGTCTGAGCTGGCGGGCCATCTCCGGAGCCTCCTGCCGGGGTTCAAGGCTGGCCAGAGGCTTGCCGGCTGCGAGGGAGGGAGGGAAGGAAGTGGGCAGATACCCCAAGCCTCCATCGGACGGGAAACACCCGCTACGCTCGACCGACGGCGCTGCCACTAAAACGGGACCCGGGCAGCTCGGCGCCCGCCAAAAAAGTTGCGCCGCTTCGAAGCTGGCCTAGCGGACAGGAGCGGCCCCACCCCAAAGCCGCCAGGTGCCCGCCCCGGGCGTGCCCGGCCGGGATCCTCTCGCCAGCCCCACCCCGCCCCTGCACCGGGCGATACCGCTGGAGGAGAGGGGGGTCGGACGGCCCTCGGCGCCCCACGGCTTCTGGTCACCCCGCGGAGCACCATCTGGCGCTTGTGGGGTCACAAGCTGCAGGAGAGGCACCCGACACATCCCGCGGACTGAAGAGCGTCGGCCGAGCAGGCACAAAGGCTCCCCCCCGCCCAGCAGACCTGGCAGGCAAGGTGGCTCCCAGCCCTCCGCCTGCGCTGCCGGGGGTGGGGCGCGCGCAACACCTCGCGCCGCGGCGCAGCTGGTCCTCTCCTCGCCCTCGCCCGGCCACGCGCGGCGGCGAGGCGAGGCGAGCCTTGCCTTGGCTCCCCTCCTTTCCTTCCCTTCCTTTCCCTTCGCGGCGGGCGACGCGAGCGCGCCATGCTCACCGATGGAGACCAGCTTGATGTTCTCCTTCTCCAGGAACTCGAGCGCCACCGACACGTTCTCCAGCTGCATCTGTCGGAAGGTGGGTCGCTGGTGGTACTTGCGGTACATGTGCTTCTGGCTGAGCACCTCCAGCAGCGCGATGAGGCGCAGCCCGTCGCTCAGGTCGAACTGCAGGTTGCCGATCCGCTTGTTCACGCAGCGGAGGTGCTCGTTGCACCAGCGCGTGAAGGTGTTCTGCTGGATCCGCTTCCAGGGCGCATCCTCCGCCAGGTCCTTCTCGGTCACGGGCATGGCCGCGCAATCCGACTCGAGGTCGCTACGGCCCAGAGGGTGAGGGTGAGGCTGCTGCTGCCACCGAGGCTCCGAGCCGCGACTTTGCTCGCTGCTGTTGCCGCCTCCGCTCCAGTCACTGCGCGCCGCGCTCCGCGCCTGCGTGGTCATGCTGAGGTTGCCGCCGCCCCGCCTCCTGGGGCGGTAATGAAAGGGCAGCCCGAGCGGCCAACCAACTCACTCGCCCGCCTAGGCTGGCTGGCTCCCTCCTGCTGCTGGGTGGGAGCCAAATACAAACGGTCTTGTATCTGCAGGGGAAGATTGAACAGCGTCGTTAGCAGAGCAACGCCAGCTCGGCTCCAGGCGGCGCGGGCCGCCCTCCTTTCCCGCTGCACGCACACGTGCCGGCCGACAAAGCCCCCGAAGACGGGGAGCGCCTTTGCGAGGAAGCTTAAATACCCGCTCCGATCAAGGGATTGGACCCTGGCCAGAGAAAGGGCGGAGTCCGCCGGACAGCACAGCTGCGGGGCGGGGGGACGAGACCAGGCGAGACGAGAGTGCCGCGGCCCCGAGCCTGGGCACAGGCGCGGTCACGCCTCCCGTCCCTTATCTGCTTGTCTTGTGTCTTACCAGATCAGTGACCCATTTCTACCCCCAGCCTGTAATCACTTTACTGCCTCGGCCTCCACACACACAGGCAGTCGCTTTCGTCCTTCTGGGATGATCGGATGGAAAGGAAGTCAGTGGGGCAGGAGGGCAGAGGAAGCCGCAGAAAGCTCCGAGGCACCTTGGAGGCAGACCGCCCGCCCGGTGCGCTGTGGCAGAAGGTGAAAGCGTATGTCCTATATTTGCCAGTGCTTAAAGTACTGTGACAATGCGCTCATTTTATCCTAACCGGCTGAGGCAGCGTTCCCACTGTATGTAAAAGAGGCTTTCAGGAACCGCTGCTTGTCACACGTGGAAGGGGAATGCAAACGCATCTGTTGAAATCACCAGTGTTAGTCACACAAGATGCACAGAAGCCTTGCAACATGCAGTTCTTTTCTCACATCTTGTTGTTTATTCAGAACTAAACAGTAGGAGGGTGCTCTCCACCTAAGGTCAGGATACAGGTCAGCATTGTCAGGGAACCCCTTACAGGACTCCTGCTTCTGCCTGTCCACTTGTCCTCTCCGACAATGCAAGCATGGAAGAAACAGCAAAAGAGGAGGAGCCACAGCCTCCCCGTGCCTTGATGAGGAATTCTGCTAATGTGCAGCTCGACACTTTCTGTGCAGTTGTAAAAACAGTCCAAATACAATTTCGTGAAACTATATTTTTGCGCAATCAAAGACCTGGACTTCTATCTTCTTACAGTTTGCTAGTAGAAACTTTCTGGGAGATTGTTTGTGCACTGAGGAGGAGGGTGGGGCGACCGCAAATTCTTGTGCAGGTGAAAACAGTGCTTAGAATAAACTCTGCTGTCCTCTCCTGCATATAGACGGTGCCCAGGGAGAGAGCAAGCAAAGGGACAGCTGTGAAAATGGCACGGAAGGAGCCCTCCAAAATCTGGAGCCAATTCTGAATTGGGGCACAATCCACTGCCACTCTTCCCCCCTCAAGTCTAGGATGTAACTCAAATATTGGCTAGATTTGCCTTCTCTTCCTGAAACTTTGTGCCTTTAAAACCTGTTTGACTGGAAAATGCAGCTGAATCCTATTCTTTCTTAGATATCCACTGATCATACTGAAACTTACAGGGTCAGCATGCAAGAAAGATTAAAGAGAGATTGCAGTCAGAATGTTCTAAATCTAAGTGCAATCCGTGCATGAGGGAGGGAGTGTAAACATGCCTTCTGTAACAAGGGCTGTAACAAAGCTGGAGAACGTTGGGTGAGAGCAAAAAGAAGATTGTCAACACCAGGTATACCTCACTCCAGCAAGCATATGAAGGTCAAAGGAGGCTCCCAGAACACACTCTCTTTAAAGAGGAGCCATGAAGAAGGGCCTCTTCGGGTGACCTTAATTCATGGCAGGTGGGTGGTCACTGCAGTAGCGAACAGCCATGTAAGTTTGGGCCTGCTATCAACCATACTGGGCAGAGATCTTCCTCTTCTGATACTGGTGTAGAAGGAATAACTTCAGCCAGTGTACCTCCTCCCATCATGTCACGGTAACAGTAACAGATGCACTATCAAAATGATTCTAATGCAGTTGAAAAGGGCACACGAATACTTCTGTGTATATATTTGTATTATGTTTTGTTTTATTCTTATTTATGTAAGCCCTCCTGAGGCTATGCGAAAGGATGGCATACGAATACTCTAAATAAATAAATAACCCTGCCAACTCCTGAGATAGGAGATGAATTACTACAAGCAGACAGGTGCAGTTGAATGGCTACAATACTGTCAAAAACATGGATACAGAGCAGGGCTGTTGGGCCCCTTTCAGCCCAAGGGCAGAATGGCTTTCTGGAGCAGCTCACCAGGGCAGCATTTCCTTAAAGGGTGTGGACAAAGGGGCAGGTCAGAAATACCACCCTAGTTTAGCTGAAAGCTTTCGCACCAGTCTAAGCCTTAGAAGCATTTCATCTTTTCAGAATGGGGAAAATCTGCCCCGAGAGCTGCTAAACCATGATGGCTGGAGCTTCTGCATCCTTGGTGTACAGCCTGCAGTTTACAAGTTCCACTTCTAATGCAGAATACTGCTGGGCCAGCGAGAAAAATGCATTCACTGGAGTGAGTCCGAAAGCACTCTCCTGGGCCTTTGCCCCAGGAGGTGCTGGCAGAGGACTGACCACCCCACATAAATTTTCAGCTTTCACCGAACAAATTAAATCTCATCTGGGCCTTTTATTTGAGGAAGTATTACAGGCACATGCTGCAGGAACTTTTCCATCCAATCTTTTTCCATTGTGGCTGCTCTTCAGTAATTTCGTGCCTCTCACCACCAACGTTCTGACTGTGAGCTCGGTCCTTCCTGAGAAAGATTGTGGTTTGTTTGTGGTTTAGGTTATTGGTATGGGCAACTAGCCTCTGTCCTCCTGAGCCTAAGTTCCTGTTCTAGTGTATTCCTACATAATGCTGAATTTATTGTTCAATTCTTGCTATGCTTTGTGCATGGCTGTATGTTCAGCCCAAGGAAGAGGTGAAGAGCCGTCCAGCATGGATGTCGCTGGCACATCCGCAAAATAATGGATGTGCGCAACATACCTGTTCAGCTGCATCGACTGTGCTACAAGCAGCCCATGCTCTTTCCCTTGCACGTTAGTTTTGAGTGAGAAGTGAGGCATGGTGGGGAAGGGCTCCAGCGGCTCCATCTGTGTTTTTTATTTTTATTTTTTTGGTGTGTGCTCCCGGAAGCCCTTCCCTGAAATTTAAAGGGAATATGTCATACTTGGATAATTCCCTTTCCTGTCATCATGCTAGTTAGGAAGAGTCATTCCATTTCCTAACCAACCACTGAAATGCTGGGAAGAGCAATGCCTGTGAGGTGCCCCCAGAGCTGATGCCAAGTCCAAGGTGTTCGTGGAGATGGACCAACAGGGAGCGAAGCAGCAGCAGCTCCGCCGTGGCTCCGGCTGCAGGGGGAAGCCTGCTTCAAGGAACAACTGTGGCTACTTGCACCACAGGTGCTGTTTTTCAAAGGACATCTGGCTGGAAACAGAAACTAGGGCTGGCTGTAGCGGGTTGTAGTTGCCAGATGCTGTCCTCTTACTTCATTTCTAATAAATATTGACAAGCAGTCTGGCACCTTGCACTGGACTAGCTAAATACTCTTAAAAAACACACACACACACGAGCGCAACAGGCAGTAGCTTTGAAGAAGAGTTCCTTTAAAATGGTGCTTATCAGAAAGGCAGTGACCCTGTGGGTTTGTTCCCTTGGGAACAAGAGTAATTATCATTGACTGGAACTTCCATTCGGATAACCAGTTTTTGTCTACATAAGCTCCTTTTAGAAATCAGGCCAAGATCGTCCCCAGCACTGCCCTCTCCCCCATCCCACAGGACTTCAGGAAGACTTCACTGTGCAAACCACCCACCTCAGACCCAGAAAGAGCCAGTCTATGCATGCATGTGCAGAAACTGAGACCACGCTTGAAGGCAAAAGCTCGGCATACTAGCACAGCTGGTGTCGAGGATAACCATAGCAGGGATCCTGTTGAGGACCCCCATCCAAGTAAGAACATACAGAGAAGAGCTCCTTGGACTTGCATGAGAAGAACAACTGAGGCCGGTGCCTGGAAACGCTTTTACTTACTGCTTCTTGGCCTGCCAAGCCAGCAGGTGGTAGCAGTAATTAAGATGATAATGAGGGGGAGGAACAGGAGCTGGTGATAATTATGTTGAGAAGACAGACTCACTGAGGGTGTCTTGCTTGAGGGCCACCAAAAACTTTGAGCCAGCACTACTCACAGCTCAAGAAGGGAAGTTGTATTTACAGTTGCTAAGAAGCAAGAAGAGAATGATAACCAACTGTGCCAGCTTAACAATGAGCAAGGAGGTAGAGAAGTCCATCTGATCTCCTGCTCATGGTGCAGGAACATCAATTCCCAGCAGGAGAATGGGGAGGCTAGAACTACCCTGCACTGCTTATTTGAGAGGCTGATACAAGAACAGCAAGCTGTGCCACTGCTGAACTTCATTTGCATAGGAAAATTGCATACAGATACATGAAGGAGCACCGAATCATCATGAAAATTGGGCTAGGTACTTCCACCACAAATTTGAACCCCACTAGAAAGGCAGAAAAAATATTGCTTCTTGGAGAATGGTGGTCACTTATTGCCTTTCTAGGGGGTGAGCCAAAGAAATATAATTTATTTATATTGATATTAGTATTTTATTTATGTAAGCCATCCTGAGGCTTTTGCAATAGGACGGCATATAAATATAACAAACAAATCAATGGGGAATGCACGAAATAAATGTGGAATCAGAAGCACAGCTGGTGGGAATGCAAGGCAGGGGCCTTAGCGCTGGAGCCCCTTGGAAGGCTGGTCTGATCAGAGGCAGGCAGTGTGCTCTGAGGCAGGCACGGCTCAAGTTCAGCAGTGGCAAGCAACATGCAAAAAGGCAATTGCGGGCCACACAGTCCACAACGAATGGTTGATTTCAGAGCAGTGCAGAAGAAGATTGGAGAGGCCAGCAAGAGATTACATGGAAGACAAATGATTGGGTTCCCAGT